TGGAGTTTGCATCTCTCTCTCATCATCCTCACTGTGGCTAGGAGATGTTAACTACCTCGCCTGGTATACAGGAAGTCGTGGGTTCGATCCCAACCCTGACGCCTGCTGCTGTATATTTGGAGTTTGCGTGTCTCTCCGTCTCTCTCTCCCCGTGGTCGCGTGGATTTTTCTCAGGTTCCTCCAGTTTTTTTCCCTCCACATTGAGAAACGTGCGTGTAGAGTATTTTCATCTAAGCTATAAAATTCCAAGTGATAAGCCACTTTGTTAAGCTATCATCTGTGGCCAGGTCGGATCTGAAAAAGAGCTACATAGCTCAGTGGGCCTTACCTGGTAAAATAAAAAATCTTTTCAGTTTTAGTGTGTCAATCTGCGTGTCCGTCGGCGTGTCAATCGGCGTGTCAATCATGTCCACCGTGTGTCCACCGTGTGTGCATTGTTGTGTCCGTCAGTGCAGCGCGCATGGCACCGTGACACACTCACCCGGTACTCCCCGTGCGAGTTCATCAGCCGCGTCTTGAGCACGTCGAACGGCTGGCACAGCGCAGTCGCACAGCCCCCCTGTGGCACGCACACACACACACACATGCGCACGCACACACACGCACACACACACACGCACACACAGACAGAGGTAAAGATCCCCCGTGTAGCCTGCACAGGCTGCGGGGGGAGGGGGGGGGGGGGCAAGCGCCGTGAGCGAGTAGCGACGACGAAGGCCGGCACACGTACGGGACCGGCTGCTCGTTGAAGGCTGAGTTGACCTAGCGGAGGCCCGGGACAAGTTCCGGTATTCGCCACCGATGTTGTCCGGGGTGGGGAGGGGGGTGGTGGTTGGGTGGTTGTGGGATGATGGTGGTAGTGCGGTGGTAGTGGTCGGGTGGTGGTGGTAGTGCTGGTGCAGTGGTGGTGGGGTGATTGTGGTGGGGTGGTGGTGGTGGTGCTGGTGCAGTGGTGGTGGGGTGATGGTGGTGGGGTGGTGGTGGTAGTGCTGGTGCAGTGGTGGTGGGGTGATTGTGGTGGGGTGGTGGTGGTAGTGCTGGTGCAGTGGTGGTGGGGTGATTGTGGTGGGGTGGTGGTGGTGGTGCTGGTGCAGTGGTGGTGGGGTGATTGTGGTGGGGTGGTGGTGGTAGTGCTGGTGCAGTGGTGGTGGGGTGATTGTGGTGGGGGTGGTGGTGGTAGTGCTGGTGCAGTGGTGGTGGGGTGATTGTGGTGGTGGTGGTGGTGGTGCTGGTGCAGTGGTGTGGGGTGATTGTGGTGGGGTGGTGGTGGTAGTGCTGGTGCAGTGGTGGTGGGGTGATTGTGGTGGGGTGGTGGTGGTGGTGCTGGTGCAGTGGTGGTGGGGTGATTGTGGTGGGGTGGTGGTGGTGGTGCTGGTGCAGTGGTGGTGGGGTGATTGTGGTGGGGTGGTGGTGGTAGTGCTGGTGCAGTGGTGGTGGGGTGATAGTGGTGGGGTGGTGGTGGTTGTGCGGTGGTGGGGTGGTGGTAGTGATGATGATGGAAGTGCGGTGGTGGTGGTAATGGGCTGGTGGTGGGGTGGTGGTTCTGTGGTGGTGGTGGGTTGGTGGCGGTGGTCCTTGGAGTCAAATATTGGGCGCGTCACCATCATTGGTTCAACCAAAGCTGACGAGAAACTGAATGTCGAGAAACCGTGTCCAGTTTGGCGTTTCTTTGCCGTTGCTTTTTATGAACCAATGCTGCTGAAATCGGGTACTGGCAGAAGGCGTCATTATTTGTTTACGTGACGGAGCGCGGCGGGGAGGGAGAGATCGGAGAAGAGGGAGAGATCGGAGGAGAGGGAGAGATGGGAGGGGAGGGGAGGGAAGAGATCGGAGGAGAGGGAGAGATCGGAGGAGAGGGAAGAGATCGGAGGAGAGGGAGAGATCGGAGGGGAGGGAAGAGATCGGAGGGGAGGGAGAGATGGGAGGGAGGGAGAGATGGGAGGGGAGGGAAGAGATCGGAGGGGAGGGAGAGATCGGAGGGAAGAGCGTCAGGGAGACTCACCGCGAGGAAGCTGGCGAGGAAGTGCGTTGTGATGTTGTCTCCCATGAGCCCCGTCGCCAACACCAGCTGCTTGGCCTGGTCATAGCACGAGAGCTACGCACGCGCACACACACACACGGACACACACACACGCGGACACACACGCACGCACACACACACGCACACACACGCACACATACACACGCATACACACACACACACGCACGCACACACACGCACGCACACACGCACACACGCACACACACGCACACACACACAGGGACGCAGGCACACACAGGGATGCAGACACGCACACACACGCACGCACACACACGCACGCGCACACACGCGCGCACACGCGCACACACACACAGGGACGCACACACGCACACACACACACAGGGACGCATACACACACGCGCACACACACACAGGGACGCACACACACACACGCACACACACGCACGCACACACACGCACACACAGAGACGATGATCCTCCAGCAATGGCCTTGACCAGACTGTTGGGGCAGGGACCTATGGAGGCCGGCACGACACGTGAGGGAGGTGGACCGAGTCAACAACAACGCCTGGACCACGCTTGTGTCTCCCCACAGATGCTGCAACAGAGTTCACCGAGGGCGGGCCGAGGATCGGTTCAAATAATCGCCGTTGTTATCGGTCGCGAGCGGGTAATCGAACTCGGGTCGCCGGCTTCGTAGGGCGGTGGCGCTAACCGCTACACTTCCGCTCCCCGTCCAGATACACGCGCACGCACGCACAGACGCACGCACGCAGAATCGCGGTAGCGGTAGTGGCCGTACCTGTCCCACCGTGACCAGCGCCCCGCGGCTCGCTGCCATCGTGGCGCCGTTGAACAGCTTCCTGATGCCCTCTGCCGGGGAGACGCGTGGGGGGGACATGGAGACACGGGGTCAGACTTGGAGACGTGGGGGTATACGGAGACACAAGGACACGGGGGGGAGACACGTAGGGGGACACTTGGGGCAACACAGAGACACGGGGTCAGGCGTAGGGACATTGGGGGTATACGGAGACACAAGGACACGGGGGGGGGGGGGGGACACAGAGACGTGGAGACACGTGGTCAGACGTGAAGACACGGGGTCAGACGTGAAGACAAGGGGATATGGGGAACACGGGGGACACGGGGACACGGGGTCACAAGACGCAGGGACAGGGGGAGGGCAAAACAAAGGCAAAGATCCCCAGTATAGCTTTAACAGGATATTGGGGCAAGTGCTGTTAGCGAGCACCCATGAAGGCCGGCACAGGCACATAATGGGGGCGAGTAGCCAGCACCACGCTCGACCGCCTTTGTCTCCCCAGTGGCGATGTTTACACGCCGCACCAGGTACTCATTTGAGGCCGAGTCGACATAGAGGTAGGCCCAAGGACCGGTTCAGATAATCGTCACCGGTGTTGGCCGTGAGCGGGAATCGAACTCAACTGAGTACCTTGTGCGGACAAAGGCGGAGGGGGGCGTGGTGCTGGCCACCCCCGCCCCCCTTCGTGTACCATTCCGGCCTTCATAGGTGCTGCTCGCTAACAGCACTTGCCCCGACAGTCTGTTAAAGGCTATACACACGGGGGGATCTTTGTCTTTGTGCTTCACGCGTGGCATGGCGTGGCGTGCCGATCGGTGGCACCGTAGGGCTCACCTTCTTTGGCCACCCGGTACATGCCGTCGATGGCGTGCTTGTAGCTGTAAGAGAGACACGCAGACGGCCAACACACGCACAGCCCGTTACCGACGGTTTGGGGCCGTGCTGATGCACTACGCGCCCCACTGGATACTCGTTTTGAGGCCGAGCCGACCTGGGGGGGGGGGGGGGGGGGGGGGAGGCCCAGGGCTGGTTGTCGGCGGCCGTGAGGGGCGCGTCAACCGCAGCTCCCACCACGACAAAAGGGCACAGAAACGAAAACACTTCTCGCGCAGAGAGAGCGAGAGAGAGAGAGACAGAGCGGCGTTGTGAAACCTCGCACTGTTACACGGCGAGAGGAGAGCGCGGGGAGATGTGGGGGGAACGGCTGTACTGGACGCTGCGTAACCTCGGCAATTAAAACCACATGGCTCCCACACGCCGTGCCGACGCCGACTGGACTCACGAGGCCAAACGTCGCCGCCACCACTGCCACCACCCACTGATACCACTACAACCGCCACCACCACCATCACCACCACTGCCACCCACTGATACCACTACAACCGCCATCGCCACCACCGCCACTACCACCACGATCACTGATACTACCACCACCGCCATCACCACCACTACCACCATTACCGCCACCCACTGATACCACTACCACCGCCATCGCCGCCACCACCACCATCACCACCACCACCGCCGCCATCATCGTCACCCACTGCCGACAGCGGCGTCGGTATCAGAAGGGGCCATGTGGTGCTCATCACCGGCGAAGTCGCCGGGTTCGCCGCGCGCCGCGTTTCCACGAAGCTCCGCTCGCTCGGGGGGGTGGGGGGGGCGGGGGGGGGGCGGGGGGGGGGTGGGGAGGGACCACCCTCTGATGGTCACCGACCTCTGACGGTCGGTGACACACGAACGGACGCGGCGGGTAAATCGGGAGCCCACGGCAGCGGGCGTCGTTTGTGCTTCTGGACGTCACTCCCATTTACGGACCGAGTTGTTTGTTGTTATCGGGAGGTCCAATGGCACGCAAGTGTCGCGTGTGCGGCTCAAACTCGTTGGGGTCGTGTGCATCGCCCCCCCCCCCCCCCCCCCCCCCCCCCACTCGGCGTGTCGTAAGTCACCGCACAAAAGCCCGTGTGGTGAACGCAGACTCGGTGCCGTGCGATAGGCGGCATCAACTTGATTCCTGCGGACATCTTCAAGGGGGGTTTAAAGCCTATTCATTATCGTTCGAAGCAACTCGGCACTGGAGAAAAGGTCCCCGCCCCCCGCCCCCTCCCCCGTAGAGAGAAGCTCCGAGCGGACCGCTATTAATGCCGGGACAGATTCGGTTAGGGCACGGAAAACAACAACAACAGCAGCAGCAGCGGCAGCAACAATCTAATCATTCGCGACACGCGATCGCGAGGTTCGCGGGCAATGGTCGTCACGTCGCGAAACGTGATCTCGCACCGACCGTCAAGAAATTGTATCGGGCCAAACCCATGGCAATAACTGCCGTGGGCTTTCGGCAATGGTGGCGGTGGTGGTGGTGGGTGGTGGTGGTGGTGACGGTTCAGGTGGTGATGGTGATAGTGTTCTTAGGTTTTTTCCAGTAAAGTCACGTAGGTAAAACATTAAAATTAATAAAAGTAAAATAAAATAAAAATCACGACGTTTCGGAGGCAACACAAGCTTCCATCTTCAGGTGGAACCGTCACAGCCACGACAGCTGTATCAGCCTACGTGACTTTACCGAAAAAACCTAAGAATATGAATCCTTGCAGTCACGAAAGCTTCAAATCTAGAATGGTGATAGTGGTGAGAGTGGCGAGTATGATGGTGGTGGTCATGATAATGATCATGATGATCATGCTGGTATTGCTGATGATTACAATCGTGATGGTGATGAGGTGCTAGCCATGGTGGTGATGGCGATAATGCTGGCAGTGATCGTGGTGATTGTCACGGTGGTGGTGGTGGCAGCTAGCACTGTGCTTTAGCGTTGCACTGTGAGAGTGAGGGGTTGGTGGAACACCTCGGGATAGGCACGGACTGGTCACGCGCCATTGCAAACCTCAAGAGCTTAATTATGAAAAATGAATAATGCCCCTACCCAGAAGGTCAAAGGTGGAGGGAGGGGGGGGTCAAGGGTCAGAGCTTACTTGCGTCGCTGGTCAAGTGGCAGTTTGATGTCATTCTGCATCCTGCAGATGCACACACAGACGCACACAGATACAGACAAAGGTCCCCCCCATGTAGCCTGCACAAGCTGCTGGGGCAAGTGCCTGTTCGCGACCAGCACCCATGAAGCCCAGGGAATGGTTAAGAAAATGCCCACCGATATTGGCCGTGAGTGGGAATCCGATTGGGGCCACCGTGTCTGCAGCACAGTGCGGTGACCACTGCACTACCGCTCCCCCATACACAGCCGAGTGAAACACCCCACCAACCTAATCACTCGCCCACCACCCTACTGTCACCCACTCACTCGCTCACCCACTCACTCAGCAACCTACTCTCCCACACATAAACTTACTCGCTCACCCAGTCACTCGCTCACCAACCTATTCGCTCACACACCACCCTACTCGATCACCCACTCACTCACTCGCTCACTCACTCACCAATCTACTCGCCCACGCACTCGCTCACCAACCTACTCACTCACCCACTCACTCACCAACCTATTTGCTCACCCACTCCCTCGCTCACTCACTCACCAACCTACTAGCTCACCCACTCATTAAACCTCTCACTTACGAATTCACCCATTCACTCAGCCGCTCACCCGCTTACTCACTCACCCACCGACCCACTCATTCATCCACTCGCCGACATAACCAATCACTCACTCGCTCACCCACTCACTCCTCCACCCACAAACACACTCCTCCACTCAACCCCTCACCCGCTCGCCCACTCACTCGCTTGCTGACTCGCCCACTCACTCGATGAACCGCCAACTCGCCCCCTCGCTCACCCCGCGCCAGGGCTGTGGACTCACCGTACGTTCACCAAGTCAGCCGGCGTGCCGATGAGGCCCCCACTGAAGCCTGCAGTGCGGACACACGAGCCACAGCGGCAGGGCGAGCGAGAGGGTGAGTGAGTTTGGTGAGTGAGTGAGTGAGTGAATAAGTGAGTGAGAGGGTGGGTGAGTAAGTGAGCGAGCAGGTGAGCGAGAGGGTGAGTGAGTTTGGTGAGTGAGTGAGTGAGTGAATGAGTGAGTGAGAGGGTGGGTGAGTAAGTGAGCGAGCAGGTGAGCGAGAGGGTGAGTGAGTTTGGTGAGTGAGTTTGGTGAGTGAGCTAGCAAAGGAGTGGGCGAGCGAGTGGTTGGGTGAGTGAGTGGGTGTGTGGCTGTGTGTGTGGCTGTGTGAGTGGGTGGGTGAGTGGATGGGTGAGGGGGAAGTGGGTGAGTTTGGTGATTGGGTGAGCGAGCGGATGAGTTGAGCGGGTGATCGGGAGGATGAGTTTAGCGAGTGGGTGGGTGAGCAGTTGAGTGGGAAGGTGAGTTTGGTGAGTGGGTGAGTGAGTGGGTGGGTGAGTTGAGCGAGTGGGTGGGTAAGCAGTTGAGTGGGAAGGTGAGTTTGGTGAGTGGGTGAGTGAGCAGTTGGGTGAGTTGAGCGAGTGGGTGAGTTGAGCGAGTGGGTGGGTCAGCAGTTGAGTGGGAAGGTGAGTTTGGCGAGTGGGTGAGTGAGCAGGTGGGTGAGCGGGTGGGTGAGCGGGTGAGGGAGCGGACGAGTGAGTGGACGGGTGAGTGAGCGGGCAGGCGAGTGAGTGAGTGAGCGAGTGAGCGGGTGGGTGACCGGGTAGGTGAGAGGGTAGGTGAGCGGGTGGGTGAGCAGGTAGGTGAGCGGGTGAGGGAGTGGACGAGTGAGCGGGGCGGGAAAGTGAGCGAGCGAGCGAGTGGGTGGGTGAGTGAGCGGGCAGGCGAGTGAGTGAGCGAGCGAGTGAGCGGGTGGGTGAGCGGGTAGGTGAGCGGGTGGGTGAGCGGGTAGGTGAGCGGGTGAGAGAGTGGACGAATGAGCGGGGCGGGTGAGTGAGCGGGCGAGCGAGTGAGCGAGCGAGTGGGTGAGCGGGCGGGCGAGTGAGTGGGCGGGCGGATGAGTGAGCGGGCTGGTGGCCGAGTGAGTGGGCAGGCGAGTGAGCGGGTGGGCGAGCGAGCGAGAGAGTGAGCGAGCGAGCGAGTGAGCGGTTGGCGAGTTTGGCGAGTGGCGCTCTCACCCCCGAGGGCGCCGATGAACACCTTGGTGTGGAAGGGGGGGTTCCGACCGTCCCTCCCCACGAACTCGCGCGCTCGCTCGTAGATCGCGAACCTGGCCAGCGAGTAGGTGAGCTGCGCGCACAGAGACAAAGGTCCCCCGTGTAGCCTCAACGGACTGTCGGGGCGAGTGCTGTTCCACGATCAGCGGGCCAAAATCAAGCCCGGCCGCCTTTGTCTCCCCATTGACTACGTTTTACCCACCGCACCAGGTACTCATTTGAGGCCGAATTCGACCTCGGGGGAAGCGCAGGGACCGGTTCAAATAATCATCCGCAATGTTGGCCGTGAGCGGGAATCGAACTCGTGCTACGAACCCGGTGACTCAGCTCCACTCCCGCTCCCCACAATAATGGACATGGGGGGAGGGGAGCGGTGGTGGTATAGTGGTTAGAACACACCACACTAAAACGAAACTAGTTTTTTGATTTTACCAAGGAAAAGCCCACTGAGCTATGTAGCTATTTTTAAATCCTTTATATTAAGTTCACTTGCTTGCTTGCGCGCTTACGACCGTGCAAATCTTTCGGTCGTTTTCTAACCCACTTCCCGTGATCCAATCGAGCTGACATTTTGCACACAGACTCGTTGTGCGTCACAATGCATTTTCGTGAAAAATTTTCTTCCAAAATTTTACACTTTTTAGGAATTTTTTTTTATATTTAATTACCAATTGCTTAATGGTGGCAGGCAATCATCTGACCCATAGGTGGCAGCCATCTCAAGCCAGAGGACGAGAGGACTCTAGCCGCCACGCATATAAAGAATTTATAGTGAAAAACTTTGTTTTTACGGGTTAATTTTTTCAGAAGCGACCTGGCCACAAATGGCAACTCATCGAAGTGCCATTGTCATCGCGTGGAAATTTATCGCAGCCAAATACTGGACGCGTGACGTTGATTCTAAATGTGGAGGGGAAAAACCGGAGGACCGGGAGAAAAACCCACGCGACCACGGAGAGAGAGACGCAAACTCCAAATATACAGCAGCAGGCGTCAGGGGTCGGGATCGAACCCACGACCTCCTGTACACCAGGCGAGGTAGCCAACATCTCCTAGCCACCGTGATGATGATGAGAGAGAGAGAGACACGCAAACTCCAAATATACAGCAGCAGGCGTCAGAGTCGGGATCGAACCCACGTCCTCCTGTACACCAGGCGAGGTAGCCAACATCTCGCACCACGCGGCTGAGCGTCCCCGTGCTCGCGCGAAATCCCCGCGGGGCTAATCGCCGGCACTCCCTCTCTCCTCGGCCCGGTGCCCACAAACTTCCCCCCATCACAACCCCCCAACTCCACCACCAAACCACTTCATTAATTACGGACGCACGCCACAACCCTCCACAACCCCACCCCACCCCACACCACCCCCTTTGGCCGACAGCCAAGGGGGCGGTGGGGGGGGGGCCCCCCGTCACCGTCTCGCGACATCGGCGGTCGTGTTCCGGTGGCGGTCGCTTACGCAACGGTTACGCAACCGGCGGGGGTGGGCGTCACCCCGGCGCAGCGAGCCGGGGTTGATGGGCCACGTGCGGATGGGTAAGAACCCGCGCCGAGGGGCGGGAGAGGGGGGAGGAGAGATGATGGGCAAAATGGGGGGCCGGGCGGGGAGGGGGGGGGCGTGGGATGGCTATAGTTTGATCGGACGATTTGAAGGTCAGGATTCAAGGTCACGATCCGGGGTCACAATTCAGGGTCACGATTCAGGGTCACAATTCAGGGTCACGATTCAGGGTCACGATTCAGGGTCACGATCCGGGGTCACGATTCAGGGTCAGGATTCGGGGTCACGATTCGGGTTCACGATTTGGGGGTCACGATTCGGGGTCACGATTCGGGGTCACAATTAAGGAGTCACGATTCGGGGTCACGATCCGGGGTCACGATTCGGGGTCAATATTCAGGGTCACAATTCAGGGTCAAGATTCAGGGTCAAGGTTCAGGGTCAGGATTTGGGGTCGCGGCAGCGATGAGCTGATGGTACCTGGCGGCACAGCGATGCACTCAGTCCGTTGTAGAGAGCCAGCACGCCCTGCGTCCTCACCACGTGCACCGCCATGGAGCTCATGCGCATCCGCACCTCCTGCTGCGTCTGCAGGTGGACCTGGGGGCAACACCGGGTCAACCGCAGGGTCAACTGCTACTCACCCACAGGGTCAACCGCTACTCACCCACAGGGTCAATCGCTACTCACTCAGAGGGTCAACTGCTGGGTCAACCACTGGGTCAACCGCAGGGTCAACCGCTACTCACTCAGAGGGTCAAACGCAGGGTCAATCAATACTCACTCAGAGGGTCAACTGCTGGGTCAACCACTGGGTCAACCACAGGGTCAACCGCTACTCACTCAGAGGGTCAAACGCAGGGTCAATCGATACTCACTCAGAGGGTCAAACGCAGGGTCAACCGCAGGGTCAACCGCTACTCACCCAGAGGGTCAAACGCAGGGTCAATCGATACTCACCCACAGGGTCAAACGCAGGGTCAATCGATACTCACCCACAGGGTCAAACGCAGGGTCAACCGCTACTCACCCAGAGGGTCAACCGGTACTCACCCAGAGGGTCAACCGCAGGGTCAAATGCTACTCAAACCCCCCCCTCCCCCCGTCTTACGAGAGAAACGGCGCACAGAAGCGGATATCACAGAGCTACCGCCAAGATTCCTTTGTTCAGCCTCCCACCCCACGCCCCCCACCCCGCCCCCCACCCCGCCCCCCACGCCCCCCACCCCGCCCCCCACCCCGCCCCCCACGCCCCCCACCCCGCCCCCCACCCCGCCCCCCAACTCGCGTGGGGGGTTTTCTCCAGGCACTCCGGTTTCCTCCCCGCATCTCCAAATGCTCGTTCAACGGCGTTGGACAAACGACCCCAACGTAGGCCGACAGAGCTTGGGCAACTGTGGCTGCGCCGCCTTGAACACGCTTGCACGACGGTTTCCCGCGCGCCCCTTCCAATTTCACGAAAAGCGCGCCGCGTGGAGTTACAAACATTCGTAATACTCATATTCTTGGTTCGCTCGGTAAAAGTCGCGTAAATAGAAAATAAAAAAAATAAAAAAACCACGACGTTTCAATCGCGGCACAAGCGGCCTTCATCAGGCCGCTTGTGTCGTGATCGAAACGTCGCGTTTTTTTCCCCTTTTAGTTTAGTTTTCTATTTACGTCACTTTTACCGAAAGAACCAAGAATATGAATTCCTGCAGTCACGAAAGCTTTAAGTCAAGGTGTGCGCTTACTTATTTATTCATTCTGAAGACGGTTGCGCGGGGGTGGGGGACGGTCTGGCGGGGATTCCTGGGCAACGGAGCACTCATCACGTCCCTGTGAAGAAGCTCAACACTCAGTGCCAGCGCCACTAGCACCACACCACCCCTACCATCCACACCACCCCTACCACCACACTACCCCTACCACCACACCACCCCTACCACCACACTACCCCTACCACCACAGCACCCCTGCCATCATACCACCCCTACCACCACACCACCCCTACCATCCACACCACCCCTGCCATCCACACCACCCCTGCCACCACACCGGCCCTATCATCGCACCGCTTCTACCATCACACCACCCCTACCATCACACCACCCCTACCATCGCACCACCCCTACCATCGCACCACCCCTACCACCGCACCACCCCTACCATCGCACCGCTTCTACCACCACACCACCCCTACCATCACACCACCCCTACCATCGCACCACCCCTACCATCCACTCCACCCCTACCATCCACTCCACCCCTACCACCACACCACCCCTACCATCCACACCACCCCTACCATCACACCATCCCTACCATCACACCACCCCTACCATCACACCACCCCTGCCACCGCATCACCCCTACCATCCGCACCACCCCTACCATCACACCATCCCTACCATCCACACCACCCCTACCACCACACCACCCCTACCACCACACCACCCCTACCACCACACCACCCCTACCATCCGCACCACCCCTACCACCGAACCACCCCTACCACCACACCACCCCTACCATCCGCACCACCCCTACCACCACACCACCCCTACCACCACACCACCCCTACCACCACACCACCCCTACCACCACACCACCCCTACCATCACACCATCCCTACCATCACACCATCCCTACCATCACACCACCCCTACCATCCGCACCACCCCTACCATCACACCACCCCTACCATCACACCACCCCTACCACCCGCACCACCTCTACCATCCGCACCACCCCTACCACCGAACCACCCCTACCACCGCACCACCCCTACCACCGCACCACCCCTACCATCACACCACCCCTACCATCCACACCACCCCTACCATCGCACCACCCCTACCACCGCACCACCCCTACCATCGCACCACCCCTACCACCGCACCACCCCTACCATCACACCACCCCTACCATCCACACCACCCCTACCACTCACACCACCCCTACCACTCACACCACCCCTACCACTCACACCACCCCTACCACTCACACCACCCCTACCACCCACACCACCCCTACCACCCACACCACCCCTACCACCGCACCACCCCTACCACCGCACCACCCCTACCATCCACACCACCCCTACCATCCACACCACCCCTACCACCCACACCACCCCTACCACCCACACCACCCCTACCACTCACACCACCCCTACCACTCACACCACCCCTACCACTCACACCACCCCTACCACTCACACCACCCCTACCACTCACACCACCCCTACCACTCACACCACCCCTACCACTCACACCACCCCTGCCACCGCACCACCCCTACCACCGCACCACCCCTACCATCCACACCACCCCTACCATCCACACCACCCCTACCATCCACACCACCCCTACCACCCACACCACCCCTACCACCCACACCACCCCTACCACCGCACCACCCCTACCACCGCACCACCCCTACCATCCACACCACCCCTACCATCACACCACCCCTACCATCCGCACCACCCCTACCATCACACCACCCCTACCATCACACCACCCCTACCACCCGCACCACCTCTACCATCCGCACCACCCCTACCACCGAACCACCCCTACCACCACACCACCCCTACCACCGCACACCCCTACCATCACACCACCCCTACCATCCACACCACCCCTACCATCGCACCACCCCTACCACCACACCACCCCTACCATCACACCATCCCTACCATCCACACCACCCCTACCACCCACACCACCCCTACCATCCACACCACCCCTACCACCGCACCACCCCTACAACCGCACCACCCCTACCATCCACACCACCGCTACCATCCACACCACCCCTACCACCCACACCACCCCTACCACCGCACCACCCCTACCACCGCACCACCCCTACCACCACACCACCCCTACCATCCACACCACCCCTACCACCGCACCACCCCTACCATCCACACCACCCCTACCATTCACACCACCCCTACCACCACACCGCCCCTGCCATCGCTCCGCTAACAGCAGAGCCTCGCCCAGGCAGAAGGCTCATTTCACAATGGCCCTTGACCAGATGGCGTGGAATGCGCCCAGTCTGGTCCCCATCTGAAAAGCTCCCCAGCAGCAGTGACGCCGTGCCGGGCTGAGAGCGGGGGGCCCACGCCGAGTGTAGCAGGAGGCAACGCAACCACAATCAACAGCTGGACACAGACCTGTTCTTCACCTGAGGACGGCTGCTTGCGTGTGGCCGAAACGTCGTGAGAATTATTTTATCATGTTGTATTTTTATTATTTTATCACTTCCCTTCTACGTGACTTTACCGAAAGAACCAAGAAGCTGGACATGCATTGCTAAGCTCCCCCACTCCCCCCCCCCCCCCCCCCGCCAAAAGATCCCCCGTGTAGCATTAACAGATTGTTGGGGCGAATCGTCCGATCGCCACGGCACACGAGGGGGTGGGTGGCCGGCACCGCGCTGTGGGTCACACTCAAAGCTTCACGCAGATTTATTAAATGATTTATTGCTGTCCGCACGCCGGTGGCTTAGTGTGCTTGGCAAGGAGCCTGTACACTCGATGAGTGAGCCACTGACTCACATAGAGACCCACAGACTCACATAGAGACCAACAGACTCACATAGAGACCCACTGACTCACATAGAGACCCACTGACTCACATAGAGACCCACAGACTCACATAGAGACCCACTGACTCACATAGAGACCCACATACTCACACAGAGACCCACTGACTCACACAGAGACCCACAGATTCACATAGAGACCAACAAACTCACGTGGAGACCCACAGACTCACATACAGACCCACAGACTCACATAGCGACCCGCAGACTCACATAGACACCCACAGACTCACATAGAGACCCACAGCCTCACACAGAGACCCACAGACTCACAGAGGCCCTCAGACCCACAGAGACCCGCAGACTCACAAGACAGACCCCCACAGAGACTGCCAGGTTCATAGCGAGAACCCAAGACTCACAGAGAGACCCCAAGACTCACAGAAAGGACCCCAGATCCAGAGAAACCCTCAGGTTTACACACCCCAAGACCCACAAAGACCCCCAGACTCAGCCAGACCCCCAGAGACAGACCCCCAGACCCACAGAGAAACCCCTCCAGACTCACAGATCCCCAAACCTTTGGGGGGGTCAAGGGTCGGCATCGGCTGACGAATCAGCAGTCGGCGCTTGCCGTCGCGCGGTTTGAATGCCTCCACCAAAATCCAACCCCGGGAGAGGGGACTGCCCGACTTTGGGAGGGAGTCAGTGATCGATTTCTAAAATCGATCGGCTGCGCCCTCGCGGTCAGAGGTCAACGCGTGGGATCCCTCCGCGAAGCGGAGAAAGTTTGCACAGTCGTTGAACGGATGATAAAGACGCGACTTTTTCCCCGTGCGAGCTGGCACGTTCCCACAGTGGCACGGTGGCGGCGGCAGCAGCGTCGTGGTGCGTGGGCGATGAATGTCAGAGGCACGCGGTCGAACGGGAGGGCACGTCGAGTGGGGTCACGCGAGGGTGGGATAGTGTCACCGAATAGAGAAACATCACTAGATTCATTTTACCATGGGAAGGTGCCACTGAGCTGCGGTACGGGTCTTTTTAAATCCTTTATATTAAGT